CACTCTGTGTCACTCTCAACTTGCCTTTTGAAAACCCTTTGCTCAGCTTTTCATGGTAAGGCAAATTAAATGATCAAATACAAAATGATACGCAGCATTTATGATTTTAAATCACATAAATTAAAACCTGAACACCAAAGATGACACCAGGGCTTGGGCCAGGTCTATTTTAGTAAAACATGGTCTGTACAAGAATCGAAATGCATTTAGTGAATAACTGTTGTTACCATCATGTCTTGAAAAGGGAGCTGAAGTTGAAATCGAGTCCCAGCAGAGACAAAAGCAATCTGGCCCAAACCCAGGAGAGCAGTGGTTCAACAAGAAGGACACGCCGCTCACAGACATGAAGAAAGAAAGAAATGGTGCCGTGCCAGGGCAGGAAACGAACCTCGAATATACCGCTCACCTTCGGCTGCGGCTGCTGCTGCTCCCGGATTTTGCGACGCCGCGCCTCCACGACTGGGTTCTCATACTGGGTCTTCCTGTTTATATGACTGAGACACAGAGAAAACAAGGCAACAGAGGTAAAGACTGACGGTACACACGCTCATAAAATATGCTTTTCTCATTATCAAGGTTCAGTCTTTGTACATGTGGCCTACAGGTGAAAAGACTGACTGAACATTTGTAAAAGCGTCTTTCATTTGGAAAACTGTATTTATTTAAATCAGTACGGTGATTAACTTACTCGACATAGTACACCCCATACACTGGGTCATCTATTCTTTCCCAACCTGGAGGCAGCTCTGAAATACAAAAGGTAAACCACATTACACTCAAAAACACAACACTTTTTACCTTTATCTTGGTTATTAGCGCAGCCAAGTCAGTTAGTGTGGTTGAGTTGACTCCCGGGCACCATCAATGCAGTAAATAAAGTCATTAGTTACAGGAAATAGTTAAATTAATCTCAATTGTACTATTTATCTTGACCGTTTTGAGTACATAAGAGATTGACTCTGTTGTGATGTTTTATATTTATAAGCATAGTTTTTCAGGCATTTTGTGCTTTGGAATTCTTCCAGAAATGCCAAGAAGAAAAAAAAACCTAAACTAAATTAGAGCCTGTGTCACTCACTACATACAGCCTTTTTGTTTTATTTTAAAAACAACTTTTTTCTACCATTGTATTTCTTAAGTTAAAGCTGTAGTTTCTGGCTGATAAGGGTCGGCAGCACTGCTAAATGCTTCCTTTAAAATGTGTAATTACATTTGTAAAAGTAGAAAGGTCAGGTATAGAGGATTCTAGCCGACAGTTCCTCACATTTTCTAATCTACAGTAGACAACATGTCAGATGTGTATCTGTCAGTAAGTGTTTTTCATAAACTAAACTATGATGGGGGCGACACAGTGATTAGTGGTTAGCACTGTCACCTCACAGCAAAAAGGTTCTGGGTTTGAGCCCGGGCCGACACGGGACTCTCTCTGTGGGGTTTGCATGTTCTCCCTGTGGCTGTGTGGGTTCTCGCCAGGTACTCCAGCTTCCTCCCACAGTCCAAAGACATGCAGCTTAGGTTGAATGACGGCTCTAAATTACCCGTAGCAGTGAGTGTGAGTGTGTGGTTGTCTACGTGTCAGCCCTGACAGACTGGCAACCTGTCTGGGGCATACCCTGCCTCTCCTCCAATGATAGCTGGGATAGGCTCCAGCCCCTTGTGACACTATTTAAAAAAAAGCGATATAGGTAATGGATGGACGGATGGAAATTATGACCTGGATCACTGTCCTGCTGCCTAGAATTACAAGTATTCTGCTCAGGTCCACTTCTGAATGCGGGTCAACACACAAGCGCAGTGTGGAAATTTGAAAACTGAAGCACAAACATCTGCATTTACTAAATATAAGTTCAGTACTGTATTATGTTCGGCTCAACGTTGCGGTGCATAGTGTACACACACCTAACCACATTTCATGGGAACAGGTGGACAGATGGAGCCTATTAAACTGACACATTCCCATTATGATGTTGGCATCTCAGTTCTTCTCCTCACTGTATTTGATTTCAACCAAAGACATTACCTCCTTGTGTTACTGTGGGCTTCTCCCAGTTCCAATAAAGACTTTTATAAGACACTGGCTTTCACAATCAATAATCACAGGCTGTCTGCATCTGAGCAGTCAGCAGTAATGAAGGCTTACAGTCAGACATGCAAGGCCTTTGTTGACACTGAGCTTTCGCACCGTTACAGGGTTGTTTATGTTAATAGCAAATGGGAAGAGAATCGGCAGCTGTCTGTGAAGTATATCTACCAACAACAGTCCTCAGCATAACATATTCAAAATGTGTTTGTGTGTATCTCAGATAAATAACTGCTGTTATTCACACTATGAACAGTGGAGAGTATAATACTGTTTTGTTATGTCAATAGAAAATCCATTGGCACAGCTTTCAGTGTATGGACGTTAGGCAGAGCTTTGATCAGCGACAGATACGGTGAGTAAACCTCACAGGGGCTCACACAGCAATATATTTGACGGATTAATGCTCCATTATTAGATAAAATTCTAAAGGGAGACATTTAGAAAGCAGAGCAAGAAATGCCAAAAACATTAAAGTCAATTTTGACACACAGACATAAACTTATGACAGTTGGATTTTCAAAACAAAATCAATCTATCTTGTGCCAGAATCCAGAGAAAATCTATTACAATTCATTATGCTTTAAAGTTAACCCCTGGAGGACTTCCTAACACATGGATTTGTTTACAGTTACAGTTCACCTCAAAAACACACTTAGGCCTTTAGGCCTAAGAAACATAATCAGTTGGTAGACTTATTTTCTTTTGATATTACCTCCAACTGTTGATTAGAGCGTGAGCTGTTACAGCACAACATACAATTAAGCCGTTAACTTTTAATTTAAGAGATTATCTATTTAAAAGAGATTATAGGTATAAACTGTGTCATCTAACCAAATGAAGTAATACATGATAACCAAAAATAAAGATTGTACCTAGATCAGTCTCCAGGTCCTCGGTATGTATCCCTTCTTCTTCAAGGTGAAAGCAGGATGAAACAAAGAAAACAAATTGAAGAACAGAAAAGAGATGGATAGCACAGAAGAGGTGATTCGGGGATGGAGGGATCAAATAAAGAATGAAGTGACAGTCCAGAGAAAGGAAAAAAGAAACCCCTTAGTCTCATTGACAGGATATAGCAATATTAAAACAAATCTAGGAAAATTCTGTCTGCTAATATGGATTTCACCACTTGATGGAGCAATTTTGCAATCTGTGCTCCGATATTTGAAGTTGTCAGCTGTGATAACATTTGTCATAACATAAATGTCGTAACATTATTTAGAAATTTTATGTCATTTTATAGCAATGGTTGTAAAAGAACACAGAATTGACAATTTAAGGCATGACAAATGTAGGACACATATCAACTCAATTAATCCAAACTCTGAAAAAGAATATATATATATATGGCTGAAAAATGCAGGACTTAACAATGTCACCACTGAAAACTCAAGGAGAGCTCTATGTCTGAGACCTCTAGCACTACCTGCTGATTCTTAAATCACTACCCAGAGGAGCAAATGTATACTTTTATTGTGTAAATTATGTGTAGCAGCTTACCATCATCATCACACTCTTCCAGAGGCCTGGAGGCTTTGTCTCTACACCGGGGATCCAGCCATGATGTGGTCTTTGTGTTGTGGCTGAGAAGAAAACAAATGAGACAACAGAATAATTCAACACAGGCTGTCAAAGTGACATACAAAAGCACAGAAGGGGTGTTTGAATACATCACTAATAACTAAAAAGTAAACTGCGTCAGCAAGTTTACAGAGGATAGTAAGTGTCTCCTGCAAAGAGAAATGAGAATAACAGAGCAATGTAAGCAGGATATCAACAATAAATGACCTGACATTTCTCTCTAGTGCTAAAATAAGAACATGCTGTAATTCAGTGATAGCAGAATTGAACATACAAGCTCTGAAAACACACAGCCATGTCCTGGTGGTGTGCCTTTGCCATGCTGCAGAGAGGACAGAGAGTTGGAGGTAGTCAGGTGATCAGGATGTGATCTCCTTTAGAGATCGAGACATGCAGGGATTAACAGGAAAGCAGTGTCACCCAGGGGGGCTGGGCAGGTTGGCTGGAAAGGCCTAAAAACCAAATCATGGGAGGAAGACAAGCCACTGGACGAACAAAAGGATAACAGTGCAGGTAAAATATAGAAAAAACAACTACTGTATGAGCTCCTGAGAAATGCTTATTCAGACAGTGCAGAAACTGTGTGTGCAGCAGATTAGGCGTTGCAAGTTGTTGATACATACTCTATGAAGTAAAGTTCTCCATTCTCTGTATACGCCATCTCCCAGTTTTCAGGCAGTGGTCCAAGAGGGTCTTCCGGAGAGACCTGCGGCTCTGCGAGGGTCTGCTGCCCACTGTCTGCAGTGGAAGTGGCCGCATTGTTCAGACCACAGGGTGGAGCGTTATCACGTGCGGGGTACGGCCGGAGAATGCTGCCACGGCTCTCGTCGTGGTCGTTAGGGTTGCCTGTGCACAACAAAGGAGAGGGGAAGAGACTACCCACTAAGGATCCTGGGTAACACAACAGGCACAACATGGAACAGCAACAAAAAGAGAACAAAACCACGGTTTATGTTGCATGCATGCAAGAGAGGATCAGGTGAAAAAAAGCAAACATGCTCGCTCTGGATACTCTTTAGCACACATCAGCCATAACAATCTCACAGCATTTTGCCTTCCCCCCATCCTACTGCCCACTTCTAGTGTACCAAAAGGGCCCCAGAAATACGTTAATTGTTTGGGCACCAGTTTTTCCCAAACTCTTTTTGACCCCCACCCTGTTTTACCTCTCCACCCCTAAGCCTCTTTTCCCTAAAGCTAGCAATCCAATCCCCCATCCCCACTCGCACCCCAGTTCTGGCCCAGTGTCCTCCACTGCTTCCATGGGCCTTTCAGGGTTGATCAAATGCTAATTCAACAGTGTCAGTCTGGCAGGGGGACACAGAGAGGGCATAGATTCACAGCAGAAGAAAACACCATCTATCACATTCACAAAACAATACAGAGCACAAAGGAAAGAGGAAAGGATGTGAAATGGTAAAGCTCTGGCATTAAAATCTCATAATGTCACTTATTTTCTCCTTGTATTTATATTATGGAATTAATCTGTATGCATCTGTATGAAGATGTGTTGAGAAAATGTGACATGGGAATACTACCATCAACCAAGGCAGAGATCTTAACACCAGATAAACAAATGAGAGGGAAGCTGATGAGCAAAAGCAAGAACTGTGAAAAAATTCCACAGAGGTAGGAAAGGATGTGAAGGCTGTGGCACAGACAGACAATGATGAATCTTGTGAGTGTAGCCTGTAAACTACTTCTTCCCCCACTGCACCCCTCCTCACAGGCAGATGGCAGTGTTTGGAGGCTCACAGAAAAGGAATAGGCGTCACAAAAACATGATGTAACTGCCAGACACCGTACAACAGACCAGAGTATCACAAGCATACACACATTATCTTTCTCCCTCTGTATTCCTAATCTCGGGTGCACACATGCATACACAGACACACCTAACAAGTATCCATCCTGAACAAATACAGCACAGTTGGAGAATACTACACATGCAGAGACAAAGAAAGCTGCAGCTACAGAAACTTCAACAGACAGAGGGAGGCTGGAGTAGTGCAATACGCCCTCACCTGTAAAACTGTTGTTCATTTCCGTGGCCTGGTCGTCATCGTCATCGTCAGCAGGCACTACTCGGGCGTTTTGCATGTCATTGTAGGACTTGGTGCGCTTTGGGGTGGACTGCTGGGAGCCTGCATCATTGAGAATCACTGTCCCAATGATGGGCTGCCTTGGCGGCTTTGGGGTCCCATAATAGTTACCTAGGCAACAACAAGGACATTAGCATGCTTGAGAGAGACGCGGAAGGAGGGAGAAGGAAAAAACGGAGACAGAGTGAGGAAGCTGAGGATAAAAGCAGGCAGCGTGGGGGACAGAGAGATAGCAGGCAGAGGATCTGTGAAACCTCCTAATCTTACGCTGAAAGGGAAAAGACATAAAGCTGGAACACAGTGTGACCACAGATCATGTAAAATAGCAGCTGGTGTGAAAGCAAAACCATTCCAGTTTGTGTTTGAGGCTGCAGAGCTGTGCTATCTAGATTCTGAAAGCATAGAGGAAAAAGACACTGGAGCAGCTCACAACCACCCAGGTTATTTTAACAGCTTTATCTGACTGAAACTGTTGTTTACTTGTCAGTGGTGCAAACAAAGAATTGAAGTGTTTCTTTTCCCCCTAGCACAGAACCAATAATGTATCCACATATTCTTATCCTGGTGGCCTGGGGGTCATATGTAATGGCACACCGTGAAAGGAAAATACAGTACACTTATTCACCATCGTGCCAAGAGTCTGACGGTACCATTGTCATGTCTGTATGGTAAATATAAGGCAAGAGCCAGCAGCTGGTTAGCTTAAAGACTGGAAACAGTCTCACAGAAATAAATAAATACAAATCGGTCCACCTGCTTGTGTAAAGAGCAAGGCCATATTAACATTTTATAGATCATTTGTTTATTCTGTCGAGAAAAAAGTCCAACTTTCACATTTTGACTTTTTCTTGACATTTCTACGTCATTCTCAACATTTGGACTTGACTGTCAACATGGAAAATCCTCCTCTCATTTATTTTTTCCTTATTGTGGCCCTAATTCTGTCATAGGTTAGCGTAGCTTATCATTAAGACAGGCGATGGGTGGAAACAATTCTTTCCATCTACTATGAATGAGCTTTAGAGCTGCTGGTATAGAGTTTCTCACCTTTGGACAGTGCTAGACTATCTGCTTTCCTCTGTTTCCACACTTTATGCTTAACTAACTGGCTCACCGTAACTTTATATTTACTGTACATAAGGTATTTTATGAAATGTCTACGATTCCTTTCACAGTCTTAATTCAGCTATGGATGCTGCCGCATGTCATCTTCCCTCATCATGCCCAACAAAGGTGAAAGTAAAATTACATTTATATATAAAATCAAAAAGTCTATAAAGAACCATAAATCCAAATGTAGTTATGAATCCATAATCCAGCTTTGCTCAGGTTGTCGGCATGGCGACAGACTCCTGTAGACAGGTATTTGACATTGTCTGTGTGAAAAAGAGAAACGTGCCAACACACAGCAGAAACGGTGCCAAACAGATTAATGTAATATTCTCTACCAGCCCCACACAAACAGCACACACAAAGCACAAACACACACCCGCCCACACATACACATTTACACACAGGTTTGTGTCTGTTTAAGGCTTAGCACTGCACAGCACTGTCCTAATCAAAGTGAGAGGGGCAGATGTGGAGTGACCTGCTGTCTCCTGGATGCATCTCCTCCCATCATGCATGGTTTAATCTGA